GAAAGAAAAGAAGAAAGAATAACACTAGAAAGAAGGAAAGAGAAGCAAAAGGAACTGAGAGATATAAAAATAATAAGAATTAAAAAATAAAAAGTTACTTAAAAAAATCAAACAATCAAGCAAAAAAACCTCTTGTTGATTTCAAACTGGCCAAACTAGTTTTTCTGGTCTTGCTGGCTTCTGCAGGCTGAGGGGTGATGGGTATTGCTTTTCTCCCTTCCTGTTCAGCGCTGAGCCAGCTTCCTGCCTACTCTCCCCAGAGCCAGTCAGGTGCCTCTCCACAGGGCCCTGGGTGTGGGATCTGGGCCTTCCTAAGCACGCTCTCCCAAATTCACAGCTGTGGGCTCCTGGGATCCTGCAGAGTGCGCGCATGTGCTTTCTCCTGGTTCATGGCTGTTGGCTCAGGGGATCCTGTGGAGCACCGGCGCCTTCCCGGGGTTGACGGCTGTGGGCACCGGGGATCCTGCAGAGCGCCCGTGCCTTTCTTGGGTTCACAACTGTGAGCTCCAGGTCTTCCACAAAATGCGCTCTCCCCAGGTTCAGGGCCAGGGCGTGGCCTGGCCGCCCTTTGTCACACAGCCTCCTGTGTACACTCTTTCCAGGGTTATGCGTGGGTTCTCAAAACCTCTGTGTGATTACCACTCAGTCCCCAATCTCTTCTCTGTGCCTTCAAGCAACCAGGCCTCCCCCAGTGTTGCTCTATCCTTGTTTGGCCAGGGAGGGAGTGGTTGACCCAGTTGTCTCCTGAGCGCCCTGAGGCAGACCCAGGAGCACCAGGCCTGGGGTTGCAACCTCCCCAGTCCCCACGCTGATCCCTGGACCCTTATTATCCTGAAGCACTCTCCTTACTCTCTGGTTTTTCACTGTGCGCTACAATTTTTAACCTCCTATTTTCATATACTCTGTGGTACTGTTGGCTGTGTGCTCTGTTCCTCTGTAGATCAGCTAGGTTTTTCTCCCATGGGTAGGGGAAAGTGGGATCTGCTCCCTCCTACCATGCTGCCTTCTTCCCTCTTGGCAGCAGTGTTTTCTCACAGACACTTGCTGTTTTGTTTTTATTTTTATTTTTATTTTTAGTGTTAGACATATGTTGGATCTTTAATGAATATTTTTGAAGTATAACATAATGGTTTCATGTACATGTTTTGATTGAACCCTTACTTTTTCCTCTGCAGACTGAAATATCATAAAATCCAATTATTACATTTTTTCCTATTACTATATATTCACCCTTTTTAAAAATTACTTTATTGTTGTTCAATTACGGTTGCCTGCATTTTCCCCCACCACTCCCTCCCACTCTAGCCAAACTTAGATTCCTGATTAGATGTTCATGATGCTGTCATAAGACACATCTGAAACTTGAGTTTTAAAATTCAGACTAAGTAATTTGGCAGAGGATAAGGTTGTAGTGGCAACTGGCTCCATGATGCACCAATGAAATGGGAGCGAGGAAAAACAGAGCTCATCTCACTAGGAAATACATCTCAGAGGCAGTAATGTAATGAGTGGACTGTTGCTGTAAATCTAGAACTGTTGCTTTACTGACTGTTTCTCTGAAATATAATCTTCCCCTAATGGACTTCTTTTCTGCTTTGGGAGAAAAATATCTAAACTGCAATGTATGCTTAGAAAGTTCTAGAAATATTTTGTATCACTTAGCTAGAATGTTCCAGGATCTGCATAACCAAATGGGCACTACTTTGTTTAGGTTAGGATACTGTGGCTATGTGCACAGTAACAGGAACCTGAACTGATTCACTGCCTATGTGTAAAGGGTATGCTTACAACATGCCAAAATAAGAGATGGTTCCTTTCACTAGGAAAATTATCACTGGGGTCATTTTATATTATACTTATATAGTGCAGGATTTAAAACTGAAAAATATTTATTAAAGCACATTTCTCCTTTTTTGATATCTTTTTTATTAATGTTCAAATACAGTTGTCTCCATTTTCCCACCACTTTCCCCCATCCTACCCCCACCTCCCACCCTCAATCCTAACCCTCTTTGGATTTGTCCATGGTACATTCCTTAAGTAGACAGCATCCTCATGGATTACATCAGTGGATGTCTGGCAGTGTCTAGAGACCTGTTTGGTTGTCACTAACCGGGGAAGGGTTACATCTAGTGGGCAGAGGCCAAGGATGCTTTGAAATATCCTATAATGCACAGGATACCACCACAACAAAGAATTAGCAGGTCCAAAACATCAATAGTGCTAAGGTTGTGAAATCCCAGATTAGATTTATGGGTCATAGTGAATACAGAGGTACATCTTAGTAATTTTTATTTCTTTCCCCCCTCACATATTTTCCTAAATGATTTTTCAATCATATTTTCAGAGCTCCTGGAGGTGCATTTTTTAAAGAGGTAGGGGTGCTGCTGATGTGTCAGTTGGACCTTTTTGGAAAAAGCAGTTCTAATACTGGGAAAATTATCTTCCTGCACAGTAAGCCCATGCCCCTCTTGAATTTATAAAGCCAGTGGGTGTGCAAAAACTGAAGGTATTTATAAATGGGAGATTACTTTTATCAGCTAATTGGCATTTTCTGTCAAATTCACTAGAACTGAACTGAGTCACTACTTGCTCGTTGGCAGTATTTGAGAGTGACTCAATAGAATGTGATTGCAAAATGACATGCCCCTCTCAATGTAAAGATGCCTTTGACAGCAGATTTAGGGATGCCAAAGACACCATAATGCCTCAGTTTTATACTTACCACACATGATAGGGAAATGAAACCATCCCTTTATGCCAATTTCTGATTCTGATAGGATGTCTCTTGTGTTCTCTGGAACAAACTCTAGCCTAAGGGAAAACACTGTTGTAGCTTCTCTGAATAAAGTTTAGAAGTGCCTCAAACTCCCTCAGTACCCATCAACAATGGATTTCTCTCCTTTTATGTGTACTCATTCACCTGCTTATACCTGGAATTTCTGCCAGCTTACACTTGACCAGCTTGGCTTGCCTGTAATCAAGTCACTTTTGTTTTTTTTCAAACATTACAACTGTATGGGTCCTCTTAGAATCTTGTTTGGGGCCTTTCTGAGAAAAAGAGGCACGAAGGAGGGATTCCAACCAAGGATATCAGCAGCTTAGCTTCCTAGGGCCTGATGGGTTCTGTCCTCATTTTGAAACGGGAACTACTGGTTACCAAGACATGGCTTCTGAATTCTTCACATTCCCTGAAGTGGCTCTGAAAAACTGAGAGGGAGATGCAGCTGGAATGGGATACATACTATGAGTAAGCTGCACAGTAGAGAGTGATGACATCATCCTGTTGGTGTAACTGCTAGGTTTCAAACTACCAGGGGGCCTCCAGTGACTCATCACCAGGTGTGTGTCTACTGAGGAACAACACATTGGAATAGAAGCATAAGATAGCCCAAGATAAATTAAAAGTACTAGTTGGTGGGTTTCCCAGACTCCTGAAAACTACAATTGACTCAGAAAGCCACTGGCTGTACAGGCTTAATTTCAGATCCATGTCACTTACCTAGCAATATTTCCTTTATCTGCTTAAAGGATATACTGGGAACAGAGGATAGTGCATCAAGAATATCCCCACAAATCCCAAACCTTATTTTTCTAGAAATTCCAGTCATCTGAAATCTCTGTCCTGCCTTCCAGCCCAAATAATTATCTATTTTAAACTCTATGAAAGGCTTGTTTCCTCAAACACTTTTGATTCCTTGAAACTCAGTGAAAAAGAAAAGGTTGCATTACAGGCTCTTAAAAAGAGGTGGGTGCTATAGGGTTATGCATTTTAACTATTTTTCCCTTAGAATTAAAAGATAAAAACAATTTATCTGAAGTAGCATAATGATGCATTAATTCAACATGATATTTCACAAGCTACTCTAAGTATGTGACACTTAAAATACATTGCTTCTAAAGAATGTTCTGTATTTTCTTAGTTTACATGTACATTTAAGTATCATTTTATGCAAATGTTTATTAATATGTTTATATTTCCTAATGTTTGGATTTTCATTCTGGCATTTTCTTACTCTGATACGTTATTTTTACTGCCTAGTTTGTCTATGTAAATTAGAGTTTACGTCAGTCTTAATGAGGCACATAAGATGAGATACAGAAAGATTTATTCCAAGAAACTGCTCTCTAAAAACCTTGCCAGGAATAGCTGACACAGCCAGAGTCTTACTTCCTTTTGCTAAACTCATCTGTCCTACTTTTCTTCTCACTTAAGGGCCCAGACATGCTACGTTTGGGGCTCTCTCTCCCTCCACTATCACGTTCTTAAATGCCCAGTCTTATTCCCAGTTTAGATGCCAGAGCACCTGACCAGATATTTTTGTAGACTTATTGTCATCTGTTATGGAGGGGTTTCACCCATATACAAATATATGACATTAAGGAAGTCCACTGGCTCAGATTAGCCAGATTTCCATAATACAGCCCTGCAGATGGGTGTGGGCACTTCATTTTCTAGAGGAAGAAATGTGAGTGTATGTTTTTTAGCACAGAAAGGGCGTGTGCTGGGTGGGGAGGCAAAGGGTCACTAATGGTTGACACCTACATGCCATGTTGATGTAATATGAATTCAAGTTAAAAGTATAACTTTAAAAGAAGATACTTGTTTTCAAAATGTGTTCTACTTAGGGAAAAATGAATTATTGCTGGAGACAGTGCAGAGATGGAACTTTCCTATCTCATTCCCCTCTCTCTAACCTACCTCCAGTTCTAGCCCCTCCCCATTCTCCCAACTAGGTATCCTCTGGTTGGGAGACCATAAGAGGGGCTTTCTGTGGTCACTATGGCAACAGTACATTCACACCTTCAGTTTGGGGATTCTTGTTTATAGCTCCAACATAGCCAAAATATAAGCAGTAGCATGAGAGCTTCAGGAGAGTATCTGTTTCAAGACCTCTTTCCAGGGCAAGAACAGTTGTTTGGGCACAGGATCTTATCTGGAATAAGCAGATACATTTTAAATTTGCAACAAGTTAAGTTAATTTAAAAGTGCACTTTACCTCTAACATCAGCTGGGTGAATTCTTCATTAGTGAGGAAGGAAGGTTTCCAGTCCTGCTGAATATGAGAGATTTCCATTTGTGCTGAGACTTCTGAAAAACAAAACAAAAGAACCAAAACAACAAACAACACACACACACACACACACACACACACAAATAAGTTTTTATATTCAAAGGCACCTAGGCACTGGAATTAATGAATGAAACACATGTTCTATCGATATAATTCTGTATAAACCTCTGTTCAGTTTAATTAAAGAAGCCAATATAAGGAAATAAATTACCCTGATTTCCAAGGACTGGGAACTTTGTATGTAATGGGCTTAAAAAAACCTCTTAATGTTTTCACATTAAGCTTTCTGGGAGTAAAGTACAACATCCTCTTCATGGGTGTAGTGCCTGCAGCTAGCAGAAGGCACAGTATCCTTGGATTTCTATATGACAAAGCACATCACCAGCAGTTGAAGTTAGCAGATGAAATTATCAAGTCAACAGGAACAAAGACTGGCATGGGGGGACATTCTTAAGCCACTTCTTTTTTTTCTTCTTTTTTTTTTGTCAAAGCACAACAAAACACTTTGTTTCAAAATTTTAGAAATACTTTAGGCTTGTGGTATATTACCTACAGTGTCTATGCAGAATGTAGTATGTTTTTTAGCATTTCCTGGTACCCAAGTATATTGTGCTATAAAAATATGTGTTACTTAATTGCTTTTAAAGCCAGGATTTACTCTTCTCAAAACTTGACTGGGTTACTCTAGAGTGTTTCTGTAACTACCTTGTACTGATGATATGATTCATGTTGGTAAATTCAATAGTTATTGGTCTACACGGCCTCCTTTAAATATTCTATTTCTGTAACATTTTTGAAAGTATTTAGTTTTATTACTGAAATATCTCTGATAAGATTATTACAGATAACTCAAATGCTGTATCAGATATACTTGCTTTTCCCTCGGTTTATTGTGCATTTTTAAAAAGTTTTTTTTTCACATTTTTTAATTGTTGTTCAAGCACAGTTGTTTCCATTTCCCCCCACCACTCCCCACACACCAGCCATCCCCACTTCCCATCCTTGATCCTACCTCTCCTTTGGTTTTGTCCATGTGTCCTTTATACATGTTCCTTAAAACCATTCCCAATTTTTCCCCCATTACCCTCTCCCACCTCCCCTCTGGTTACTGTCAGTTTGTTCTTAATTTCAGGGTCTCTGGATATATTTTGCTTGCTCCTTTGCTTTGTTGATTAGATTCCACTTATGGGTGAGATCATAGGGTATTTGTTTTTCACCATCTGGCTTATTTCACTTAGCATAATTCTCTCCAGTTCCATCTATGCTGTCAAAAAGGGTAGGAGCTCCCTTGTTCTTTCAGCTGTATAGTACACCATTGTGTAAATGCACCATAGTTTTTTGATCCACTCATTTACTGATGGGCACTTAGTTTGCTTCCAGCACTTGGTTATTGTATATTGTGCTGCTATGAACTTTGGGGTGCATAGGTTCTTGGTGGTGTTTCAGGGTTCTTAGGATGTAATACCAGCAGTGGAACTGCTAGGTCAAAAGGCACTTCAATTTTTAGTTTTCTGAGGAAATTCCATACTGTTTTCTACAGTGGCTGCACCAGTCTGCATTCCCAAGAACAGTGTACTAGAGTTCTCATTTCTCCTTGCCAGCACTTCTTGTTTGCTGACTTGTTTACCATGGCCATTTTTACCGATGTGAAGTGGTATCTCACTGTGGTTTTAATTTGCATCTCTCTGATGGCTAGTGATGCTGAGCATCTTTGCATATGTCTCTGGGCCCTCTGTATGTCCTCCTTGGAGAAGTGTCTGTTCAAGTCATTTGCCCATTTTTTTAATTGGGTTGTTTGCCTTCCTAGAGTGGACTTCTTGGAGTGAGTTCTGTATATATTTTGGAGATCAGACCCTTGTCTGAGGTATCATTGGCAAATATATTTTCCCATATGGTCGGTTCTCTTTTTTGCTAATGTTTCCTTTAACTATGCAGAAACTTTTTATTTTGATGAAGTCTCCTCATTTATCCTTTCTTTTATGTCCCTCACTCTAGGGGGCATATCAGTAAAAATATTGCTGCATGGAATATATGAGATTTTCCTGCCCATGTTCCCTTCTAGGAGTTTTATGATGTCATGACTTATATTCAAGTCTTTTATCCATCTTGAGTTTATTTTTTGTGTATGGTGTAAGTTGGTGGTCAAGTTTCATTTTTTTCCTTGTAGCTGTCCAGATGTCCCAGCACCATTTGTTGAGGGGGATATTTCTACTATATTTTATGCTTTTGCTCCCTTTGTCAAATATTAATTGACTGTAGAGATTTGGGTTTATTTCTGGGCTCTTTAATCTGTTTCATTGATCTGTATGTCTGTTCTTATGCCAGTACCAGGTTGTCTGTGATGTAATATAGTTTGATATCTAGTATTTTGATCCCTCCTACTTTGTTCCTCTTTCTCAAAATTGCTGCAGCTATTCAGGGTAATCTATATTCCATATAGATTTTTGAAATGTTTGTTCTATATCTGTGAAATATGTCACTGATAGTTTTAATAGGGATTGCACTGAATCTATAAATTACTTTGGGTAGTATGAACATGTTGATGATGTTAATTTTTCCTATCCATGAACACAGTATATCCTTCCATTTATTTGTGTCTTCCTTAATTTCTTTCTTCAGTGTTGTGTAGTTTTCTGAGTACAGGCCTTTTGCCTCCTTGGTTAGGTTCTTCCTAGGTACTTCATTTTTCTTGTTGTTATAGCTAATGGGAATTTTTTCCTGATTTCCATTCCTGATATTTCATTGTTGGTGTTCAAAAAAGCCTTTGATTTCTGAATGTTGAGTTTGTATCTCACTGTTCTTCTAGATTCATTTATTAGGTTGAGTCTTTTTTTGGTAGAGTCGGTAGGGTTCTCTATGTGCACTATCATGTCATCTGCAAGCAATGACAGTTTGGTTTCTTCCTTTCCAATTTGGTTGCTCTTTATTTCTTTTTCTTGTCTGATCACTGTGGCTAGGACTTCCAATACTATATTGAATAGAAATGGTGAAAGCAGACACGCTTGTCTGGTTCCTGATGTTAGTGGGAAAACCTTTAAGTTTGCATGTTCATTATGATGTTGGCTGTAGGTTTCTCATATATGGCCTTGATCATATTGAGGTATGCTCCCTCTACTCTCACTGTGCTGAGTGTTTTTATCATAAATGGATGCTGTACCTTATCAAATGCTTTTTCTGCACCTAGTGATATGATCATGAAATTTTTGTCTTTCTTTTTTTTATGTTATGTATTACATTTATTGATTTGCAAATGTGTACCATCCTTGCATCCCTGGGATGAATACCACTTGATTATGGTGTATGATCTCTTTAATGTATTGCTGAATGTGGTTTTCCAATATTTCATTGGGGATTTTAGCATCTATGTTCATCAGTGATATTGGCCTGCAGTTTTTTTTTCTTTGTTGTGTCTTTATCCAGTTTTGGGATTAGGTTGATGCTGGCTTCATAAAAAGCATTTTGGAGTCTTCTGTTGTCTTGGATTTTTTGGAATAATCTGTGAAATTAGGGGTTAGCTCCCCTTTAAAGGTTTTGAAAATTCTCCTGTGAAACCACCTAGTCCAGGTCTATTGTGTGTCAAGAGTTTATCTTACTGCTTTGATTTTGTCATCTGTTATTAGTCTACTTAGGCTTTTTGCTTCTTTTTCATTGAGTTTTGGAAGATTATATTTTTCTAGAAATTGCTCACTTCACCCATGTTTTCAAATTTTGGCATGTAGATGTTCATAGTAATTTCTTATGATCCTGTGTATTACTGTGATATCAGTTGTAATCTCTTCTCTTTCACTTCTGATTTTATTTACTTGGGTTCTCTCTCTCTCTCTCTCTCTCTCTCTCTCTCTCTTTCTCTTTCTCTTTGATAAGTCTGCTTAAAGGCTCATTGATTTTGTTTATCTTTTCAAAGAACTAGCTCCTGGATTTATTGTCCTTTGTATTGTTCTTTTAGTCTCTATGTCATTTAATTCTGCTAGGATCTTGGTTATTTGCTTCCTTCTACTTGCTCTGGGCTTTGTTTGTTGTTGTTCCTCAATTCTTGAGATGTAGGGTTAGGCTGTTTATTTGACATGTTTCTATCATTTTAGTTAGGCCTGTATTGCTATGAACTTTTGTCTCAGGAGTGTCTTTGCTCTGTTCCATATATTTTGGACTGTTGTGTGTTCATTTTTATTTGTTTCCAGAAACTTTGTGATTTCTTCCTTGATCTCATTCTTAATCCATTCATTATTTAATAGCATACTATTCAATCTCCATGAATTTGAGTGTTTTTGAGTTTTTTTTCCTTGAGGTTTATTTTCAGTTTCAGTCCCTTGTGGAAGGAGAAAATGCTTGATATAATTTCCATTTTCTTAAATTTGTTGAGGCTTGTTTTATGTCTTACCATGTGGTCTATCTTTGAAAATGTTCCATGTGCATCTGAAAAGAATGTGGATTTTTTTTGGGGGGGGGGATGAAAGTTTATATGTCAGGTAAATCCATTTGATCTAGGGCATTATTCAATGCGAAAATATCCTTGATGATATTTTGTTTGGAAGATCTATCCATTTTTGACACTGGTGTGTTAAAATTCCCTAGTAAGTGTGTTATTGTCTATATCTTCCTTGAAGTCATCCAAGATTTTCCTTATGTATTTGGGTGCTCCTATGTTGGGTGCACATATGTTTATAATATTTATGTCTTCTTGATGGATTCTTCCCTTGGACATTATGAAGTATCCTTCTCCGTCTCTTTTTATGGACTTTTTTGAAGTCTATTTTGTCTGATATAAATATTGCCACCCCTACTTTTTTCCTATCCATTTCTTTGGAATACTTTTTTCTAATTCTTCACTTTCAGTCTGTGTAGGTCTTTTGTTTTGAGGTGGGTCTCTTGTAGGTACCATATGTATAGGTCATATTTTCATATCTATTCAGCTACCCTATGTCTTTTGATTGGAACACTTAATCTATTTACATATTAGGCTATTATTAATAGGTACTTATTAATGTCCCCTCCCTTGTACCTGTGTTCCTCTGTCTCT